GGCAGGACGTTGTGGAGAGAGCGGTAATAGAGTTGGACGCTGAGGCTGTGCAGGGTGGGCGAGAGGCAGCGGATGTTTCTGTGGAGGGACAGCGAGAGGCGGTGGATGAGGCAGTGCAGGCAGGACAACGACGAGACGAGGGGGCTACAAACGCAGGATGTGAAGTCCACAAGACAGCGACGGGTCCAGTCTTTCTGTTCTCGGGCCTGCACTTGGCTCAGGGCCGACAGTCGCAGCGGGTGCCGATGGCAGTGCATGGTGTCCGACCGCCCGTTATCACGGATTTGGGGTCCGAGCCGGTGGTTGCGCCACCACGTCTTCCTAGTCACTTTGCTCCGTAGGAGGTCCGTCATCCTTTGGATGCAGACGAGTTGGCGAGAGAGGCTGTCCGCGATGTCACTCGGTTGGACCGGTGGATCTTCGACTAGAGGCTACAGCATCCAGCATGGCAGGCGATCCCTTCGGTTCCATGGGATCATGCGTCGCCAGTGTGGTCTGGGTCTACCTCCACTTGAGCACGTACCGTGGGAGATGTTCTAGGGGTTTCGGGTGGCGTGATAGAGACAGCGCCACGTACAGGAGACATGCCACCCCCTCCTCCTAGACCACCTGTAGGTGATCCATCATCATCGCCCACAGGCAGAGACTCTCGATCCCCACACACGCCTGGAAGGTCTAGGATTCGGGACACGAGAACAGTTCCGAGGGAGGTGTGTGACACGACAATGTTCGGGAGAACAGGCATAGATTTGGATTTCGCCCGCCGTGTCACAGAGCACACTGCACGCCTATGGCCGGGTTATGGACTCCGCGGCGGCAAGACGACCGCAGCGAGGGAGGTGGCAGCATCAGGTTGTGAGCCTCAGCGAGGTTGCGACAGAGGAGTGTCTGTCGAGAGCTTGGAGCACACTTTGAGAGCTGCGACGTGTGCCGTGCATGAGCAGACTCCACACAAGCATGAAGTGTCTCCTCGTCCACGCCCCATGCCCGCACAGGGAGGAGATGCACTTTGAGAGACTTCGGGGGCGGAGAGGTTGGGGATGCCTCGTACATCCCGCCGTGAGCAGACGGTTGCAGAGGCTAGTGCGAGGGTTGAGGTGTTGAGGAAGGGAGGAGGCCCTGTCACCATCGAGGAGGATGATCCTGAGACGGATGCGGCAGTGCGGGAGCACCTCCCATAATACGCAACCCAGAACCCATTACCTGCAACCCCCGGTACAGAAATGCCATGAGAATCGTAAGAAGTACTTGCCCGTTCCTAACACCACTAGCAACGTACCGTCATTCATCATCACGTGCGTGTCAGCACCAAATTCCGAAAAAATATGTGTGTATATATCCCACAGCTGCAGAGTCAACCCTCCTTCCCTGTGTCGTCCCCCGTATGTCGTACGGGGGGTCTCCGTACGGACCGTACGGACGGACGGACGGACGGTCGTACGGGCGTACGGATGAAAGTCGTCCGATAGCGTTTTAGGGGCAAATTTTTTTTTTTTTTTTTTTTTGGCCTTGTAAAATATTTTTATAAAATAAAAAACAAAAAAAAGAGGAAAAAAAAAAGAATCAGGTAGCAAACAAAAATGGGCAGTTGATTGATTGATAGTTTGATTGATTGATTGATTGATTGATTGATCATGAGAAAAAAAAACGAGAAAAGAAAAAAAATCAATTAAAAAGGTTGTTATATTGATTGATTGATTGATTGGCCTTGGGGGGGTGGCCTCCCCCCCGCACACACACACACACACACACACACACACACACACACACACACACACACACACACACACACACACACACACACA